TAATAAGATAGGAACAAACAAATCAATTAGCAATATCATAAATAAATACAACTGAACCAAATTTCAGGTACAGAAACTGTAATTAAAAGTTTAAAACACTGCATAGTTTTCTTTTCATAAATAAAATACAGATTAGTTATTAAAGTTATTAAAGATATTAAGTCAAGGTCAGTAAAGAATTTTTTGTTCTTTGATTAACATTAATGACAGGCAGCGTGTTTATTAGGCTGCTGTCTCTTTAACACCAAACGCACGCAGATCTAAAAATACTGTACACATCTCAGACCTCAAATACATAAAATATTACCCTTTTTAGACATAGTTTTTGAAGTAAAGAGTAAAGAAAATACTAAACAACCAGGTTCTTTATTTACCCTTGTAAGAACCCCCACCCCTCATTTCTCATTGGATCTAAGCAAATCTCATAGGTGACATATTCTGATCTCAAAAAAGTGAGTTGTCACTGAAAGGTGAGGAGTTTGCATCTATGCACATTAAAATGCGAACGCAGAAATCATTAAGCGGAATCGAAATGCACGTGTCTTATCGAATACCCTTGGAACCTGTTCTAAAATGGAAGCGGTTCTCGATACCCAACCCTAGTAATGTTCTCCGAGGCACACACCTGTGTTGCGGTTCTGCGTGAGGAACTCCAGCTGCAGGTTCTGTCCGTGGTGTTGGGCCAGAGCGATCGGGGAGCGCAGCTCAGGGTCACCGGTGTCACAGCTCACATCTGCGCCGCAGAACACCAGCGCCAGTGTCTCACACACATCGCTCGACTGAACGTTAATGCACAGCGCCTGCGGAGAGAGAGCACGGCTCAGGAATCTACAGCGGATCAAGTGTGGAACGTGTGTATGTCAATGACATTCCTGTCAGTCCTCTGCACAATCTGACTTTGCTGCAGCATGGAATTAAACTGCTGGTCTCGTCTGGCCAGAGGAGAATGGCACACTATTCCCCTGTTTAATACTGTAAAGCTGCTTTGACACAATCTGCATTATAAAAAGCGGTATATAAATAACGGTGACTTGACTTCAATCAGTGAAACACAAACCTGGTCACAAAATGAAGTCAGATGTTTCTGAGCACATTTGAAACTAGGGCTGCAAGATATTGGAAAAAACTCACATTGTGATATTCAGAGATGCAAACAGGTAAGGGAGAAAAAAAGGTGATAACACACACAGAATTTATTTGAAAGATATTTGCTTTACATGCTCATTTGTAGTTCCTTTAAGGTTTTATAACACATTTTTTAACATATTGTTGCATCATTTTATAAAAATCAAGATTGAATGGGTAACACTTTATTTTAAGGTGTCCTTGTTACACGTGTTACATGTACTTACTATTATAATAACAAT